AAAAGAATCATGATTCTTTTCATTTATGATTCACAAGTTCCAAAAACTGATGCATGTACATTGAATTTAAAAGGTTAAAAGCAAGCTTTGCAAGCTGAGGCTGAAGTATTTTGTGAACATTTTGTCGCCAGCCCTGGCAAACAAGTTGGCCAACTGATACACACCGCACAAAACAGTCAACCACCTCTGACCAGGGGAAAATGATCTGCACCTGCACAGCTCTGTGGGTAAATATTAATCAAGTGCAGTAATCATCTGTGCAGCCCACAGCTTACACAGTGTCACTGCAGGAATATTCATAACTTATTCAATCTGGACAGATAAAAACAAGCATTATGCAAGACTACAAATCCACCCACTTATGCCCTACATATAGAAGCTATTCACAGCCGAGGAGCTTGTTTTAGAGGAAGCCTAAAGATATGAAGAACTTGTTTTCTATTTTATTCGCCTACACAAACACACATTACATCACCACCACTTCAATGTTTGCATGTTAATTGGTGCTTTGTTTTCTTTCATAGTAAGAAAAACTTATGTTGTATGTTTAATCGAGTTTATTCATGTATAAATACGGAATTACAAAATAGCTGTAATAAAATTTATTTGTAAAAGTTTGTGACAAATACTGTACATTAACACCTAAAATGTCTTTGTAAGTGCTTACAACTACATTATATTGTGTTATAGACAGTTACTAAATGTTGTTAATAAGGGGCTTAAAAAATGCAAAAGTCTGTATTTTGTTAGCTATGCGGATTCCTACTGTCCCTAAAAGCGCCACCATTAATTTGCTCTTTATACTTTTAGTCACTTCACAGGCCTGGCTGTCACCTTATCTGAACGGTTATGTAATTTTGATGTGAAGCATGTCCAAACTGAACAGCAGAGAGAGAACAGCAGTGCTCAGCAGAGGACAGGAGGAAACACTGTGTCTGATCCTGCCAGCGCACTCTGCTTCTGCCACGACTGACAGCACTGGCTCTCATCAAACTGTCACAGCTCTACTGTCCCATGAAGCAGCTGCATCTGAAAAAATAAATTGAGGATGTTTCCAGAATGTCAGGAAATGTGACTTTACAGGTGCTGCAGACACATCAGAGTGCCAGCTTTGAAAACAAACCCGTCTACCTAAACAAATGCAGCTGGAACGGTTCACAGTTACACTAACGGATATTCAGTTTACAATCTGAAACGTGGTGAATAGAGAAGCTTCTGCATCTCCGATTTAACACGAAGTTGACACATTCCTACCCTATATAATTTGAACCTGGATTATTTCCTGAGAACCTCAAGATCTCAGCTGCAAAAATGTTACTCCCAGCCTTCCCTGACCAAACATGTCACTTCTGCTCAGTGGAAAGTAAAAAATAACTCTCTCGCTGCTTAATAATGGACAAACCGCATCAGTATCTTTTTGACATTTATAAGGATGTCTGTGCACAGAAATGTTAATCTGCACCTCACTGCTCAGGCAGGTGTCTTGTCTCGTGTTGACAACTTAAAAGCTACAGATTCAATCACCACAGTGGCAGTGCGTGTCCGTCAGCAGTCCATCAAGAGCTCTCAGGGGAGACGGTGAGCCTTTATCTGCTCGTTCTCTTCAAGTCACCGTAGATACGAGTGTCAGCTAAGTGCCTTTAAATTGTCAAAGTTACGAACAAATATCTACACACATCAATCTGCATGCTCAATTTCCACTTAATACCTGCCATCTAAGCACCGTATGAAGCCATGATGATAGTCAGGAGAGAGAACCATCATCATTCATCCTCATCTCACTGATGATGAGGATTGGCACGGACAGGCCTCCCTCTCCATTATTCAGCGTCTCGCTCCCAGCCGCTCATTAGTGACAAGGATTAACACTGACAGAGCTTCTCTCTCTCTTTCCAGGTTTACCATTTAGTAACAGTGCTCATACCACTGGTGGCTCTACATTATAATGCTGTGTATCTCTGTAATAAGTCACATACTGTATTAGTAACTGTACTTATGTAGAATACAGTGAAAAGGCTGAATCTGGGAGTAGTTACTGTGGAGTCCCAGTCATCACTAGCCATCTAAACAGTGGGATCTCATTGATAATTTACCATTTAAAGCTCATCTGCATAATGTCTGTTCAGCCCACAGGGTCCAACTGACGCCATAGGCCTCTCCTAACCACTCTTTGGCCCTATCATTGTGTCCTGTTTCCCTGAAGCCAGGGGAGTTGAGGTTTGATAAGATACTAAGAAGCGTTGTGGGCTGTGCAAAGTGTCTGTTTCAGGACAAGGTCGCGCCAGGGACAAGATCGGACCAGAATGGGGGACCAATGACGGGAGAGTTAAGTCTAAACCACAGCTTCTCCCCAACAGTTTTGGACCAATTAGATAGTAGCATTTTTTCATACAAATATTGTATACCAACCAGTTGAGGACAGTCTTTCCTGTTTAGTCTTTCCTGTTTTATCCTAAACAGTGGAGATCCATGTGCACATGCTAATTTTGATACGTTAATGCATAATAAATTTCACATTGAGAAATATACATCCTCTTATTAGTCTTCTCTTTTCAATATAAAACGAACAAGCACCACAAATTTGGTGGCCCGTACGGGGACCCATATTGAAGATAAGAGAGGAACGAATTGGATCAGCATCGGCTCAAGACTGGAGATTTCCAGCTGTGCCAGCCTGCACTCCCAGCCTCCTGTCACCCACAGACCGCGGTCTACTGAAAACCAAAGGTAAGCAGAAACCTGTTGATTCTATCCAAATTCTGCATATTGGAAAATCTAAATTAAGTGGGTGAGAGAGAGGTAAGGAAGTTTCAGGACAAACACTCTGTTAAAATTATAGAATAAATATTTTATTTACAGTCATTAACGGATCAAAATTAAATCCTGATCAGGTTTGCAAGAGTGCCAATCAGACATGAGCAAGTAAAATTAACGCATGCAGAAATTCACTAGAGTGTCCAATTGACATGAGTAATTTCTTACAGGGTAGAACCAAAATTAATTTCAAGAGTGCCCAAGGTATGAGTAAGTCTAGAAATTGATTTGCAAGAGTATCCAAGGTATGAGCAAAACCAGAAATTCATTTGCATCGAGTGCCCAATTAGGCATGAGCCAAATTAGAAACTTATTTACAGAGAGTGCCCAGTAGGCATGAGTAATTCTAAAAAGACTAATTATTAGGAATTGGCATTAATTAGCATTAAAATTAGAGGAAGTACCCATTTTTGTGTTAGTCTGTCTATGTATTGGTTATCATAAGTGTTTTGACTGTGTGTTAAGGGGAGCTCTTATTCTGCTGTGCTAGAAATTGTAAGAGTGTGTGTGGACGAGTTAACTGTGTGCTTTTGGTGTTGTCTAGAAGATCTTTCCCTCTTTTCATTGAACTACAGCTGTGAGCGTGTGTGAGTGAGTTAATTTATGAGCATTGGAGTTGGGTAGATAAGCTACCCTCTCGTTGAGGTATAAGTGTGAGAATAAGCTATTTTGTGTGTTTAAGTGGGTTGACATGGACATGAGCAGTAGGTAGAGAGAAATACACAGAAAATATACATATACATACATACACCGTACTTTTATCCAGAGCAATACACAAATACACAATACACAGCAGGGCTGAGTCACTAGCATTTCACTAACAAAAATAGCTGTCTTTATAGCAATAATACATTTGAATTAAAGGGGAAAGTTT